GTAGGGATGGAGTTTTAACGTGTTGGTCAGGCTGGTCTTGAACTCCTGAACTCGTGATCAGCCTGCCTCAGCCTCCCAAAGTGCTGAGATTACAGGCATAAGCCACTGTACCCCACCATATTCAGCCTTCTTAATGAAGAGAAAGTCCAACCAAGAATTGAATATCCAACCAAACTAAGCTTCATAAGAGAAAGAAGAAATAAGACCTATTCAGAGAAGCAAAAGCTAAGGGAATTCATTACCACCAGACTGACCTTATAAGAGATCCTTAAAGGAGTGCTAAATATGGAAAGTCTGTTAATGGCCACCACAAAAACTTATGGACATAAACCATTGACACTATAAAACATGTACACAATTGAGTCTGAATAATAATCGGCCAACAACACAATGACAGGATCATATTTGCATATATCAATATTAACCTTGAATGTAAATCTGCTAAATTCCCCAATTAACAGGCACGGGGTGGCAAACTGAATAAGGATGCAAGACTATATGATGTTTTTAAGAGACCCATCTCACATGCAGTGACACCCATAGATTCCAAGTAAAGAGATGGAGAAAAATCTACCAAGCAAATGGAAAACAGAAAAAAAACAAGGGTTGTTATTCTAACTTCAGATAAAATAGACCTTAAACAAACAATAATAAAAAAAAAGACAAAACAGGGCATTACGTAATGGTAAAGGGTTCATTTCCACAGGAAGACCTAATTATTCTAAATATATAATACACACCCAACACAGGAGCACCCACATTCTTAAAATAAGCTCTTAAAGACCTATGAAAAGACATAGATAACCACACAATAATAGTTCAAGACCTCCACACCCACTAACAGTATCAGACAGATCATCGAGGCAGAAAACTATCAAAAATATTTGGGACCCAAACTTGACGCTTGACACAGTGGATCTGACAAACATCTACAGATCTCTCCACCAAAAAACAGCAGTATATACATTATTCTGATCTGTACATGGAACATACTCTAAGATAGACCACACTATTGGCCATAAAACAATTCTCAGCAAATTGAACAAACACAAAATCATCCCAAACACACTCTTGTACCACAGCACAATAAATATATAAATCAATACTAATACTAAAAAAGTCACTCAAAATCATACAATTACATGGAAGTTAAAGAACCTGCTTCTGAATGACTTTTGGGTAAAAACTGAAATTATGGCAGAAATCAAGCAATTCTTCAAAACTAATAAGAACAAAAATACAACACAGCAGAATCACTGGGATACAGCTAAAGCCGTGTTAAGAGGAAAGTTTATATCACTAAACACCTACAGCAAAAAGCTAGAAAGATCTCAAATTCACAACCTAACATCATACCTAAGGAACCAGAAAAAAAGACCAAACCAACCCCAAAATTAGCAGAACACAAGACACCAAAATCAGAGCTGAACTGAAGAAAAATGAGAACCATAAAAAAATCAATGAATCCAGGCGTTTGTTTTTTGAATAAATAGATAAGGACTGATAGCCTGCTAGCTAGACTAATAAAAAAGAAAGGTAATCCATATAAATACAATCAGAAACGACAAAAGGGACATCACTATCAACCACACAGGGAAAAAAAAAAAAAATCTCAGAGACTACCACAAATACCTCTATGCACACAAACTAGAAAATCTGGAAGAAATAGATAATCCTGAAAACACACAACCTGCCAAGACTGAACTAGGAAGACAATGAATCTCTGAACAGATCAATAATAAATTCCAAAACTGAATCTATAATAAAACACCTAACAAGCAGAAAAAGCCCACAACCAGATATAGTTACAGCCACATTTTATTAGATGTATAAAGAAAAGCTGATATTGTTCTTACTGAAACTATTCCAAAACATTGAGGGACTCCTCCCTAACTTATTCTATGAAGCCACGATCATTTTGATACCAAAACCCAGTACAGACACAACAGAAAAAGAAAACTTTAGGCCAATATCCGATATGGTTTGACTGTTTCCCACCCAAATCTCACCTTGTAGTTCCCATAATCCTCACATGTAGTGAGAGGGACCCAGTAGGAGGTAATTGAATCATAGGTGCTGATCTTTCCCGTGCTGTTCTTGTGATAGTGAATAAGTCCCATGAGATCTGATGGTTTCATAAAGAGCAGTTCCCCTGCACATGCTCTCTTGCACGCCACCATGTAAGAAGTGACTTTGCTCCTCCTTCACCTTCTGCCATGATTGTGAGGCTTCTTCAGTCATGTGGAACTGGGAGTCCATTAAGCTTCTTTTTCTCTTTTTTTTTTTTTTTTTTTTTTTTTTTTGAGACAGTCTCGCTCTGTTGCCCAGGCTGGAGTGCAGTGGCCGGATCTCAGCTCACTGCAAGCTCCGCCTCCCGGGTTTAAGCCATTCTCCTACCTCAGCCTCCCCAGTAGCTGGGACTACAGGCACCCGCCACCTCGCCCCGCTAGTTTTTTGTATTTTTTTAGTAGAGACGGGGTTTCACCGTGTTAGCCCGGATGGTCTCAATCTCCTGACCTCGTGATCTGCCCGTCTCGGCCTCCCAAAGTGCTGGGATTACAGGCTTGAGCCACTGCGCCCGGCCGCTTCTTTTTCTTTATAAATTGCCCAGTTTTGGGTATTTCTTTATAGCAGTATGAAAACGGACTACTATGATATCCTTGATGAATGCTACATAAGTCAGCAGCATTTCTATACACCAACAATGTCCAAACTGAGAACCACATCAAGAAAGCAATCCCTTTCACAATAGCCAGAAAAAGCATAAAATATCTAGGAATACAGCTAACCAGAGAGGTGAAAGATCTCTGCAGTGAGAATTACAAAACACTGCTGAAATAAATCAGAGATGACACAAATAAATGGGAAAACATTCGATGGATGAGAAGAACAAATATCATTAAAATAATCATGCTGCCCAAAGTAATTTACAAAGTCAAAGCTATTCCTATCAATCTAGCAATGTCATTCTTCACAGAATCAGAAAAAAATTGTTATAAAATTCATATGGAACCAAAAAAGAGCACAAATAGCCCAAAGCAATCCTAGTGAAAAAGAACAAAGCTGTAGGCATCATACTATTTGATTTCAACCTATACTATAAGTTACAGTAACCAAAACAGTACAGTACTGGTACAAAACCAAACGCATAGCCTGTGTTAGCCCCTTTTCCCACTGCTGATAAAGACATACCCGAGACTGGACAATTTACAAAAGAAAGAAATTTAAGGAACTTCCAGTTCCATATGCCTGGGAAGGCCTCACAATCATGGCAGAAGGCAAGGAGGAGTATGTCACGTATTACATGGATGACAGCAGGCAAAGAGAGAGAGATTGTGCAGGGAAACTTCTATTTTTAAAACCATCAGATCTTGTAAGTCTCATTCACTACCATGAGAACAGTGCAAGAAAGACCCACCCCCATAATTCAATTGCCTCCCACACGGGGTTCCTCCCACAACACGTGGGAGTTGTGGGAATTACAATTCAAGATGACATATGAGTGGGGACACAGCCAAACCATACCATAGACCAATTAAACACAAGAAAGAGCCCGGAAATACAGCTACACATCTATGATCATATGATCATTGACAAAGTTGACAAAAACAACTAAAGAGGAAAGAACTCCCTATTCAATAAATGGTGCCAGGATAACTGGCTGGGGATATGCAGAAGACTGAAACTGGACCCCTTCCTTACACCATATAAAATTATCTCAAGATGGATGAAAGGCTTAAATGCAAAACCAAAAACTATAAAATCCCTGGCAGATAACCTAGGATATACCATTCTTGACAAAGACCCTAGAAAAGATTTCATGACAAAGATGCCAAAAGCAATTGCTACAAAAACAAAAATTGAAAAATTCAACCTAATTAAACTAAAGAGCTTTTACATATAAACTATCAACAGAGTACACAGAGAACCTACAAAACGGAAAAAAATATTTGCAAGCTATGCATCTGACAAAAGCCTAATATTCAGCATCTATAAGGAACTTAAACAAACTAACAAGCACAAAGCAAACATCCCCATTAAAAAGTGGGCAAAGTACATGAACAGACGCTTTTAAAAAAAAGGCACACATGTGTGGCCAACAAACATATGAAAAAATGCTCAGCATCCCTAAATATTAGAGAAATGCATGTCAAAACCACAATGGGACCGCATCTCACACCAGTACGAATAGCTGTTATTGAAAGGAAGTAACAACAGAGGCTGGCAAGGTTGCAGTGAAAAGGAAACACACACTGCTGGTGGGAGTGTAAATTAGTTCAGCCACTGTGGAAAGCAGTTTGGTGATTTCTTAAATGACTTGAAGCAGAATTACAATTTACTCAGAAATCTGATCGTTGGATATACCAAAGGAATTAAAATCATTCTATCATAAAGACATATGCACGTGTATGTTCATCACAGAACTATTCACAATAGCAAATACATGGAATCAACCTAAATGCCCCTCAGCGGTGATTGGATTAAAAAATTTAGTACATATACACTATGAAGTAGTATGCAACCATAAAAAAGAACAAGATCATGTCCTTTCCAGCAACACAGATGGCACTGGAGGCCATGCTCCTAAGCAAACTAACACAGGCACAAAAAAACAAATAGTGCATGTTCTCCCGTATAGGAGGAAGGTAAACATTGAGCACACATGAACACAAAAGTGGGAACAGACACCAGGGCCTACTTAAAGGTGGAGAATGGGAGGAGGGTCTATCTATAGGATACTATGCTTATTGTCTGGATGATGAAATAATCTGTAAACTAAACCTCCATGACACACAATATACCTATATAACAAACCTGCACATGTACCCCCAGAACCTAAAATTAAAGTTTAAAATAATAATAATACCTACCAAATGCTGGCAAGAATATGCAGCAACAATAACTCATGCATTGCTGGTAGGAATATAAAGTGGTTCAGTTATTTTGAAAGACAATGTAGCAGTTTTTTTTTTTTTTTACAAAACTAAATGTAAGCTTACCATTAGATCCAACAATTGTATTCTTAATTATTTCCTTCAATGAGCAAATCTATGTCCACACAAATCCGCATACAAATATTTGTAGCAGCTTTATTCATAATTGCCACAAATTGGAATGAGCCAACATGTCTTTTAATAACTGAAAGAAAACAAAACAAATTCTCATGGGTAAAAATTTTAAAAAGCAACAGACATGGAGAATATATTGGCAAAACACATATCTATTGAAGGACTGGTATTAAAAATATAAAAGAATAGCCAAAACTTAATAATAACAAAACAAACCATTTTTAAAATAGGTAAAATTTATGAACAAATATCTCATCAAAGAAGATAAAGAAATATCATATAAGGATATGAAGAGATTCTCAATATCGTTTGACAGTAGCAAGTTACAAATTAAAGGCAATGAGAAACCACTACACACCTATTAGAACAGCTAAAATTCAAAAATCTGACAATGCTAATAATTGGTCACAATATCAAGCATGGCAAAATCTCATTCAATGCCAATAGAAATATAAAATAGTACAGCCACTTTGGAAGACAATATAGCAGTTTGTTATAAAGTTAAACACAGACCTACCCAACTATCAAGCAATCACCTTTTTCGGTATGTACAGAAGTGATTTAAAAACTTGTGTCCATGTAAAAACCTAAGAATGGGGATTTTCTTCATAATTGCCAAAATATTGTAAGGTACTAAGATTTCACTTAATAGATGAATAAACAAACTATGGTACACTCACACAATGGCATGTCTTTCAGTGATAAAAATAAATAAGCTAGTAAATGATGAAAATATATAGATAAATTGTAAACATTACTAAGTGAAAGAAGCCAATTTGGAAAGATTACGTAACATATGACATCAATTTTTGATGTTCTGAATAAAACAAAACTGTAACAACAGCAAAAATATTGGTGGTTGACAAGGAGAAAGATATGGAAGGTTGAATAAAGCACAAAAAAATCGTTAAAACAGTGAAACTCTTTTATATGACACTGCAATGTTGAACACATAACACTGCATTTGTCAAAACCCTTAGAACTTTTCAGCACAAAGAGTGAACATTATATTTGCAAAGTTTAAACAAAATTATTTAGGATGTGAGAGGACACCAAGGGAGAATGCAGAATGTGACAAAACAATGTAACTTAACTACAAATATATGAAGCAATGGTGAAAAGAAATGGTGCACACCTAAGAAACTCTGATAATCAGTAGAGTCTATAAAACTAAAGACAAAAAATGAGTTGGTAAGTGTGTGTTTCCCAATAATATAGTTTGAAAATTCTAAAACCACTATGCCTGTATCTCAGAATTGAATAATTAAATTAATAGATGCCCGACGTTGGAGGCCAAGTTTCTTCAGCTTGAAGTGGAACTTTTCAGATCAAGAAGAGGAAGATGCTACAATGTTCCATTGGTAATGGATTAGAATTGTAGACATCAATATGAACTGATGCTTAGGTTACTATAGATACATATGGTTATATATAGATATATGTATGTATGTGTCTGTCTATATATATTCATTTTTTTGCTCTGTCAGCTGAGAGGGCTTAGAAGCAATGACACTACAGTACAAATGACCACATCTAGTACCCAAATTCTGATTTTTAATACCATTCTCCAGTAAAATCAGGAGCTCATTGGAGAAATGGTTAATGCTAGAAGAAAAATAGGAAATATATAATATGATCCTGGACCATCTTGTGGCCTCAGAAAATAAGATAAAGAGAAGGAAAAACTCCTACAATGGCAGAGATATATCGAAATTTCTAATGGCCAAAGCTGGAAGAATTTGAGCAACAACGTAAATAAGTCTTATATTATAATCCAAAGTATAAAAAAGATCGCCATGAATCCATACCAGTATAAATAAATAAACAAATAGGAAAAAGATAAATCTCCTGTCTTGAAGGATTACAAATTATTTATGCACATAGTCTACTCTTAAAAAGGTAGGACATAACCCTGTGGTTCTTAACTATGGACTGTGCATGGTTACTTTCTTCTAAAGAGTAATGTATGTTAACAGGAAAAAAAGAGTAATTTTACGAAGGAGAAAACTGATAAGCACTACATCTGCCAGGTGGTAAGGTTAACATCAACAATGATGTGTCATGTTGATATGTACTCTTGATGCTGTATAATGAAACAGGATTTTAGATCTGTGATCTTGCTCCAAAATCTCCAATCACCCAGTGTAACAATGTGAGAAACATCAAACAAATGCCAGTTGAAAGATAGTCTACCATATTCCTGACTAGTACTTCTCAAAACTGTTTGTTAAGGTAATCAAAAACAAGGAAACTCGGATAAACTCTCACAGCCAACAGGAACCTAAAGAGACATGATAACTAAATGTAACCTGATATTGTGGACTGGATCTTGAAACACATAAAAAAAAGGACATTAAATAAAAATGAGTGAGTTAATAATAAAACACCTGGTATAGAGTATATTGATACAATCAAAATTTAAAGACTTAAATACAAAACCTGAAACTATGAAACAACTAGAAAAAAAACACTGGGGAAATGCTTCAGGATATTGGACTGGGCAAAGATTGTTTTGAGTAAGGCTTCAAAAGCATAGGCAACAGAAATATCTCTGTACTATATTCATGTTTTTTTTTTTTTTGTAAATGTAAAATGATTGTAAAATAAAAAGCCGATTAACAGTAAATTGTAGTAGTAATTTGGCAGTGAGATAGTTTTGTGTCCCAAAGTTGTTTTCTCTCTCAATGACTTTTAGATATTGGCAATTTCTTTTTCAATTTTAATTTTTATACATTTAGGGGGTACAAGTGCAGTTTTGTCACATGGATATGTTGTGTGGTCTTTTAGTCTGGACTTTTAGCATAATCATCATCTGAATAGTGCATGTTGGTTCCCCTTTAGATAATTTATCATCCCTCACCCTCCTCCCACTCTCCGACTTTTCTGAATCTCCAATATCTATTATTCCACTCCCTATGTCCATGTGTATACATTATTAGCTCCCATTTTTAAGTGAGAATATATGGTATTTGACTTTCTTAGAATAATGGCCTCTAGTTTTCTTCATGTAACTGCAAAAGACACAATTTTATTATTTTTTATGGCTTGACTAGTATCCCATGATATATTCCAATTTTTCTTTATCTAATCACCCATTGATGGGCACTTAAGTTGATTCCATATGTTTGTTATTGTGAATAGTCCTGCCATAAACATACAAATACAGGTATCTTTTTGATATAATGATTTCTATTCCCAGTAGTGGGATTGCTACATAAAATGGTAGATCTATTTTTAGTTCTTTGAGAAATCTTCATATTGTTTTCCACTGAAGTTGTACTAATTTACATTCCTGCCAACAGTGTATAAGTGTTCCCTTTTCTCTGCATCCTCCCCAACACCTGTTATGTTTGATTTTTTAATAATAGACATTCTGACTAGTATGTGGTGCTATCTCATTATGGTATTAGTTTCCATTTCTCTGATAATTAGTAAGGTTGAAAATTTTTTCATATATACTATAGAATTTAATTAAATCCTTTATGGCTTCAGAAACAGTGTTGTGGGGCTTTTCAATGAGACTTTTATTTATTTTCATTGTATAATCCCAAAGATTAATTTAGGCTAAATGGGGTAGGGCTGGGTGGCAATGAGCAATGAATAGCCAGGCACCGGGTAACTTTCCTGGATGCATCGATAACTTTATGGCTGACTCAGCTACCAGTAACCAGGTGATGGTGGGAGCACATATAGATAGGACTGTGAAAGATTTGGAGAGTGAGTCACAAACTAAATCAATCCCTGTCTTTGGAACTCCTTAGATTATGGGCCAAGGTCACTAGAGGCTTTTAAAAGTTACATTACAAAACAAATGACAAAGATAAATGCAAAATGGCTGGTGGTTGAACAAATTCCCTTATTTTACTAATGTGGAATAGAAAAAAAAGGAAGGATTTAACTCAGAGCTAAATTTAACCATGACTGCATTGGGCCACAGCTAAGTTAAACTCTCCTAGACTTACTTCTCCAAGTGTCCGGTTCCTTAGGCCACTGTGCCATGAGTCATTAGTCAGCACTTCAGACAAATGCAATTTACAGGATAATTTAAAGTTATCAGGAGCAGCATAAAAACATTAAATAGAAAGCCAATCAAATCTTCATATTCCTTATTTTCAGCATGTGTGACAAGAATGTTTCAAGAGATAGTCTATTGAATCCATTGAGATGTCCCATAAGTAGGCTGTGCATCCATGCTAATTATAGAGCTTATCATACTCCCCAGAAAATGTGCAATTGTAACAACCATATTTATTAAAATATGCCTTTCTCTCTCTCTCTTTCTCTGATAGCTGTATGTTTCAGAAAAAATAAATAGCTAATTCAAAATCTTGGCATAGTGAAATGCAAGAAACATAGGATTCTGGAGGTTTTTCAGTGTTTTGAGCATAAAGACTAAACATGCCACAGGAAAAACTGTAAATAGAGTGAGGCTTCACTTAGTTCTCACTGATTAATTTTCCTGGTCATGGTAGTCAATCATTTTAATCTGAACCTCAGTCTCATTTTCTGTCCAATAGAGATAAGAATCCATGTCAAAAACCTGACTCTCCACATAAAATGATGAACAGGAATAACCTTTTTTGATAAATATCAAAATGGTTTATGCAGAAATGATTCTGAATTAAGTTACAATAATTATTAACAATACCACCAAAACAAAACAATGGCATGGAAAACTTGATTTGCCTAGAGAGCTCACTTGGTTCAGGCTAGAGCCCAGATTCTGAGAATAATCCAACACAATCCACTTAGTTTTGAGTAAAGTACAGGATTGACTCTACATACCCACTTTGTTCCAGAAGGACAAATGTTTCCACCATCTACTTGCTGAAAATGCATTATCAGCAAGAATGAAAGGTATCACAAGTTAAATAAGGGAGAGGAGTGCTCATTCGTACCCCCTGTCTCTCTGTGGAATGGCTTGTCCTTTCTTTGGTCCTCCTGCTAAATCCATCTTATTTCCTACTCCTTTTTAACTCTTTATTTTAGCCAAGTAGATCTCATCAATTACTCCACTTTCACTGCTCTGTATGAGCCTGGACATCCCAGGCTAATATCCTCTCATCAACAGTACTGTATTAGTCAGAGTTCTTTAGAGGGACAAAACTAATTTTATATATATGTATATATATGTGTGTGTGTGTATGTGTATTTATTAAGTATTAAATTACATGATCACAAGGTCCCACAATAAGCTGTCTGCAAGCTGAGGAGCAAGGAGAGCCAGTCCGAGTCCCAAAACTGAAGAACCCACAGTCCCATGTTCAAGAGCAGGAAGCATACAGCACGGAAGAAAGACGGAGACTGGGAGAGTAGGCCAGTCTTGCCTTTTCACATTTTTCTGTCTGCTTTATATTCACTGGCATCTGATTAGATTGTGCCCACCAGATTAAGGGTGGATCTGCCTTCCCCAGCCCACTGACTCAAATGTTAATCTCTTTTGGCAACACCCTCACAGACACACCCAGGATCAATACTTTGTATCCTTCAATCCTATCAAGTTGACACTCAGTATTAACCATTACAAGTACCATTTGCTAGTTGGAACTGACAATGTCGTTCTTTAAGCTCCACCCATACTAAGCACACCTGGCATGCTCATACCTCAGTGACTTTGCACGTGCCTCTCTTCCTGGATTGGAGCATCATCCCTCTACCTGTTCATTTGGAAAATTCTTATTTATCCCTTAAATCTTAGTTCTGTGTTTCTGCAAAAACTTCCGAGACTCATCCAAGTCAACTGCATGAATCCATATTGCTGCTTTCAGTAACACTCATTTACTATGTGTTTCCTCAGCACAATACACATTTTCATCATTTTATCTTCTTTCACTTCTTTGTAAAGCTTTGTCATACAGCTTATCAATACATATAGTGACCCCTTTTATTGAGGTATAACAGATACTAATATTCTGCACATATCTAAAGTATACAATATACTTTAATGAGGTAAGGTTGTGACCATATTCATCTAATAGATAACTGTTTAATAAAAATTGTTTAATCTCAAAAGCTGGTATCATTTATTCTTAATTTCATTTTATTTTTTGGCTTTATCAAAGTATAATTGACCAATAAAATTTGCATGTATGTAGGATGTAGAATCTGTTGAATTTGCATTCCATGCCAGTCACTGCAGAGTGGGTATGCCAAACTGAGTAGATTATCACCCTTGTTCTTAAAGGGCTTACTCTATGGTCCTGGTAACAGAAGTGAATTTTTACTTTCACAAAATATTATCCCTTGACTATCAAATCTTGTCTGTGTACATAGTTCAGAACAGATGGAGAGCTATCCTCAGAAACAGCTCATAGAATGAGAGGCTAGAGATCCCAAAGGCCCACCAGAGCCAGAATAAAGAGTAGAGGTTTGCACATGAGTGCATCAAGTCATCAGGTGACATAAATGAGACCAGGAGTACAAAGTTATACCTAAAGTCAGAAGGAGGTAGTATGTGGAGGCTGGATCAGAAGTGGGAAAGTTAGGCTGTTAGCCAGAAGACCCAAATTAAAGGAGAAAAGAAAGATGTACACAATGGAATTGACTGGGAAGCTCACGAAATTCAGTTCACATATATACATACACATGCGAGTGCATGCTATCTCTGTGTGTGTGCACACACATGCACATATATAGGTCATACATAAATATACATATAGAAAAATCAATGCATTTCTCAGTCAAGTCTTGTGTGAAAAAGATTCCATGGGGCTTCACAATAGCAGCTGAATGTTTGGATGCCCAACACTTATATCTAACTGACTTTAAATTAAACCTATAACTCTCCCTGTCCCAGTATAAATATATCCAGCCCCTCAACTTAAAATTCAGTGCAACCCAGAATGGCTATGTAACTTTTATTCTATGCCTCCTTTCCAAGTGTTACTCTTCTTTCTTATCTTTACCAACTCATTTTATTTTAAGTGCATTCTCAAGTTTTTCCCTCATAATGTTCTTCCTGTCCTGATTACATTCCTCCTTGTTTCTTTCTGGCATATTAGACATCATTCATACCATAACACTGGTCAAAATCCTCTGTTAATGCTTTCTACAAACCCTCTAATTACAACTTTCCTCTGTCTTCCTTCTGTCTACACATAGCACTGAATGTTCGGACCACACATTTTATCAGTTGGTTATAGACAGTTTACTGCAGAGCATGTTTATTCCAAACCATCTTATATTTATTGCCATTGAATTTGTTAGTTTTCCTCAACAACAGAATTTATGGGCATCTAAACTACAGAAAGAGCATCTCAACAGTGTCTCCCATAAGAGTGTGCCTAGATTCTTCTAGAGTCCCTGTTGATCACAGATTCTTAATAATCTTATATGCTTCCTTGCATGTGTTGATGATAGTTTGGTGGTGGACCCCAGGCTTTCTCTTGGTCTCCAGACAAGGAGTTCTCTGCATCCACAGAAAAAATGAAAGTAATCGGCAAGAAATGCAAGTTAAAGCAAGGTGGATGGACCTTGAGTGAAAACAGGAAGATTTAGGATACCTGTGGAAAGACAAGTCAGCATTATATAGAGACGAATTAATACTTTGGGATTAAACTGTCTGTGAAGGATAGAAGCATGGCAGACTAAAAATAGGCACGAAGTAATTCAGAAGCTAATCAGGCTGTGTCACAGATAAAATTAATAAGTAAAAAAGTTTTAACAAGACATTAGCGGTCTGAACAGCCCAGAAGGCCTAGGGAGGGAGACAAGAGTATTATGGCTGCAGCATTAACATCACTGTTATTAGGTCGGTGATGATTAACAGTACGTCGTCCCAAAGGAAGCAAGGTGAGCCTTCATAGGACAGCACTATGTCAGGAGATGATGGTCTCAAATTGGACAGCAAAGGTGAACTATCTGTCAGGAGGGACATCACATGCAAGGACACAAAAATGGGGCCATATTAGCCTGCACAGAAATAAGAATTACACCACGAGAAAAAAACACAAGTAATATAAAGTCAAAGTGACACAGAGATTTGTGAAAAACAGCCACACCTGTTAGTCCTTGGATTCCACTCAGCTCATATCTTGGGAATATTAGTCCAATGCTTCTTTTGGGTCAACCCCATTCAGATTTCATGATAAGAAATGAATTGAATCTATGAAGCAGAAAGCCAAAGAACTTCATAATTGCTTCACCCAGGTAACTATGGGAATATTTTATATCAGTTTCTATCAGGATAAATTGATAAAAAGCTTTTGAATTTTGAGTCTAATGCTATGTGCTTTGAAAAATAAAAAGGGAAACTTAAGCCTGTCTTTCAACAGGAGCTTAAAAGATAATGGAAGAGGCAACTCCAACACAGATTAAAGACACTGCCAACTCAGCATATAACTGGTAGCAGCTATGTGGAATTGTGAACATAAAGTCATTTGGAAGATGAGTATACACTGTTTTTTCAATATTCAAAGTGAGATGAATTGATTAGTGAGGAAAATTTGTCCAGTGACGAAGATTTTGAGCATCAAGAAAGAGGATACATGATTTGATAAGAAGAAAATAGTGGTTCATGCTTTGCAGATTGAAAGGCTGGATAAAATTCTGAAAGTTTACCTGTAGTCCCAGCTACTTTGGATCCTGTAGTGAGAGACTCACTTGAGAACAGGAGTTCAAGGCCATCCTGGGGAACATAACATCACTTCCTGTTTGGGATAGTTGGATATACATTCCTAAAAATAAAATGCTATATTATTATATCAGAAAGTTTTTGGATAAAAGTTACAGAAACCTGTTTAAAAGTGGCTGAACTCATAAGGGATGTTTTACACAACACAGAATCTAGAAATGTAGCATCTTCAGGCCTCCTACTATAGGACTCTGACACTGTTTCTTTGTAAACTGTCTCAGCAATGCACCATTTTGTATATGCACTTAGTTTCCTTTCCTGCTTTTTAACATTGTTAAGAAAAGTGCAAGCTGCAAAAGAGAGAGAATCTTACTTCTAAAGTATCTCTCTTAGGGAAAAGGAAATCCCTTCTAAGAGTCACCCAGAAAACTTTTTCAGAGAGTCAGTGGTTCATTCGTACATTTCTATACTGAAAAATAGTATGAAGGATAGTATTACCTGCTGCTCTTAGATGAAAAGGAGCCCTACCCATAGGGGTGGGAAGAGATCAATATCCCTTCATTCAACAGGGGTAATATTGGGAGAGGAAATAATTCCAGACTTCCGTCAGGTCTCTGATAGAATGTAGAAAGTGAAGAGAATGAATATAAGTGGACAATTAGCAGTGACCACTGCAATATCCAAAGTCAACTATCTTGAGTCCAGTGAAGAAATTTCTATTCTAATTTCTAGGCAGAAAGAACACTGAGCTAAAGGCTTTGACATCAATCCTCATAGCAAACTAAAGAATTGTATAAACTCAGGAATTTTATACCTGTGCCTTCCACTTCTCTTCGTTTAAGCAGGAATAATTGTAGTAGCAGCTAATTCATGGGGTAATTATGAAAGTAAAGAGAGGAGTAAATTATAAGAAGCCTATTTAGGCTGTGAGGCTCTATTCTTCCTGCCTCTTTGTGGTCCTTCACCCCTGCATGACTTTTAAGATGTCCAAGGGTCTTTCAAAAAGTGGGAACTGATCTGTCTTTGTCGTTTCCTTGCCATTTTACCGTATTAATATTAGGTGCCCAAATCAGTCCATCTACATGGGGTGATTGTTCCAGGACAAACTTACATTGTTTCTGGAAAACTACAATAGGCATGATATACATGACTGATGTTGTATCCATGTAATATCTTGTACACACAGCATTTGCAGCTGCTTACATGTTTTACTCTGTCAAAGAAGCAAAAGGTGGTACTGATAATGAAAGAAATACAGGCTCCAAGAGTATCAGGGGAACCCGCCCCTGATGGTTAACGTGTGTTCTTTTCTATTTCCTATGCCTCTCGGCTGGTTTGAGAAATAAAGGGAAAGAGCACAAGAGAGAGAAATTTAAAGCTGGATGTCCGGGGGAGACATCACATGTCGGCAGGTTCTGTGATGTTCCCCGAGCCATAAAACCAGCAAGTTTTTATTAGCGATTTTCAAAAGAAGAGGGAGTGCACGAATAGGGTGTGGGTCACAGAGATCACATACTTCACAACGTAATAAAATATCACAAAGCAAGTGGAGGCAGGGCGAGATCACAGGACCACATGATGGGGCAAAATTAAAATTGCTAATGAAGTTTTGGGCAAGCATTGTCATTGATAACATCCTATCAGGAGACAGGGTTTGAGAGCAGACAACCTGTCTGACCAAAATTTATTAGGTGGGACTTTTTTCGTCCTAATAAGCCTGGGAGCACTACAGGAGACCGGGACTTGTTTCATGCCTTCGGCTTCCACCGTAAAAGGCGGTCACCTTAAGAGGGCCATCTATAGACCTACCCTCAGGGCGCATTCTCTTTCTCAGGGATGTTCCTTGCTGAGAAAAAGAATTCAGCGATAGTTCTCCTATTTGCATTTGAAAGACGCTCCGTCCCCCTCACTGGCAGTCAGTTCAAGGTTACCTCCCTTGTTCCCGAATATCACTATTATCCTGTTCCTTTTTCAAGATGCCCAGATTTCATTTTGTTCAAACACACATTCTCTACAAACAATTTGTGCAGTTAACACAATCATCACAGGGTCCTGAGGCAACATATATCCTCAGTTTAAAAAGAAGATGACGGGATTAAGAGATTAAAGTAAAGACAGGCATAGGAAATCACAAGGGTATTGATTGAGGAAGTGATAAGTGTCCATGAAATCTTCACAATTTATGTTCAGAGATTGCAGTAAAGACAGGCGTAAGAAATTATAAAAGTATTAATTTGGGGAACTAATAAATGTCCATGAAATCTTCACAATTTATGTTCTTCTGCCATGGCTTCAGTCAGTCCCTCCGTTAGGGGTCCCTGACTTCCCGCAACACAAGAGCTCTCATCATTTACTCACATTTTGGAAAGTTCACTATCACAAAATTTGCAGATGGAAAGCCATCAGTGTGCTTCCAAAAGTTCTGATTTTCCAAACCCTGATAGATGAGAAAATGGTCAACCAAAAATCTTCAAACAGCAATAAAAAACTATTTGTTTAAATAGTTAGAGGACTATTTGCTAAGTAGAGGAGGCAAATGCCCCATAGGGTGGTGTTTGTATAATCAATTTTAACTGTGCTATTTGAAATTAGAGCATAATAATGCAATTTTAAATACTTAACTTAATGCTGTCCCCTGTTTACACCTAGAGAAATGTACTCAATCTCTATTAACAAAACCTGTCTCACATACTCCCAGATATGAGTAAATAAGGAAGTTATCTCTGTGGTGAAGAAAGGAAATTGGATGGTGTGGCCTTCCCAGGTTATTCTTTACTCTTGTGTTTGATTGTTTCAACTTTAATTATAGTCAATTTGAAACAATTTGGTACTTATAGAAGAGTATTTTGGATGATTTCACCCTTTTTTATATTTTATTGCTATAGACTGAATGTTTGTGTGATTTTAAAATTCATATGTTGACACCTAATCCCCAATGTGATAGTAGATGGATGTGGAGCCTCTAGAAGTTGACTAGGTCCCCAAGGTGGAGCCCTCGTGATGCAATGCAATTAGTGGCCTGATAACAAGAGCTATAACAGAGATGAACTCTCTCTTGGCCATGTGAGGATACAGCAAAATGGTGGCTGCTATGGTTTCAAAGTTTATCTCCTTTAAATTGATGTTCAGATTTATTGGCCCTTGTAACAGTATTAAGAGGCAGATCCTTTGGGAGGTAATTAGCCCATGAGGGCTCTACCCTTATGGATGGAAAAAATGCTGTTATAGAAGAGTGAGTTTTACCCCTTTCTGCTTCTTTTTTCTTCTGCTGTGTAAAGATGAAGCATTCCTCCCATCCAGAGGACCCAGCATTCAACATGCCATCTTGGAATTAGAATCACTGAGCCTGCTGGCACCTTAATATTGGGCTTCTCAGCCTCTATAGCTGTGAGCCAATAAATTTCTGTTCCTTATAAGTCGCCCAGTCTCTAGAATTCTGTTATAGCGGCACAAATGTAATGGGCTAGGTCAGTAGCTATCTGAGAACCAGAAAGCGGGCCCTTACCAGACACCGAATCTGCTAGCACCTTGATTTTGTATTTCCAAGCCTGCAGCAGTGAAAGAAATAAATGTTTGTTGTTTAAGCCACAAAGGCTAGGGTATTTTGTTCTAGCAGCCCAAACCAACTGAGACAATCAGTATGCCAAACTCCATTGTCAAGGAAACAGAATGTTATTCTCTATCAAATATGCCTGAAGAGATGGAGTTACGATTATATTTGCACAGACTTTTGGAAGATACTATGCACAATCTATCTATTGCTAAGGGGGAGGATATGATCAATGGCTGCAACTTCTGACCTTGATGGAAGACAAAGCACAGATCGTTTATGTCTATTAGGGTAGAGGCAGCTTCTTTGCATCAATGCATTAATGGGATAACTGAGATTATTAATAAGCAGCAGCAGCAATTATTAAGGCTTATTTAAGTATTAGAAGAAAATAAAGAACAGCACCCATATGACAGATCTTTTAAGTACCGATGATACTAGGAGAAAAAAAAATAATTTAAGAAAGTAAAATAAATAATTAGAAGAGCTACTCGAGACTAAATGTAAATTGACAAAGGGTGAAACAAACTCTTTACTTCTCAGGTGATTTTGTTTTGTGTCCTATGGACAGAGGATGTTTTAAAGATATGAATAAAGGAAACCTCTCTATTCAAAGAAGCACTTGTCAGAATTATCTCTCTGGAAAGGATACCTCATGGATATTATTAAATTATAGTCACACTTCTTTATGTGTTCTGAGATTCTTTTATTTTTCCCTGAATTTTTATATTAAATATATTGAACTCTAAATGAATTTTTAATATTAATAATTCAAGTCTTCTCAAACATAAAGATTATCCTTTACTTTACTTTGGCTAAGGCTTATAGAAATATATTCACCTAAAATTGCTGCCCAAATTAAATTCTAAGATAATAAAAATTAATAATAAGATTAAACCAATTTGCTGAATGTCTACATATTTTTCATTTATTTTTTAAGAAGCATGGTTAATTTAGAACATTTTTTAGTTAGCATTATTTGTAAAGCAAACTTTTTGTCCTGCAGTCATATGTTGCTAAGGGGCAACATTGAAACTATAAGTATCATTTCAGCTCCAACAAGTAAAGAGCTTGGAAGTTATTTTCATCCTTAAAACAGGAAAAAAAGCTGAACACACCAAAAATCAATGACTTTTCCTGGACCCATTAGAGAATTGAGGTTACAGGGCAAACTGCTCACCAAAACCAGAAGAGATAATCAAATGTGCAGATAGCTGAGATCAGCTTACCTGGATATAGAAGCCACTGGAGACATAAACCGGTAGAAACACTTAGAAGGTAATTTTGAGTAATTCTAGGAGGCTGAGAGTACACTAGTATGAGAGTGAAAAATTCCTGGGCCTACAGATGTAGGAGGGTTTTAGATGTCTGTGAGTTTAAACCCCAAGTACCCTACCAGGTAATCATGGTGGTGTAGAGCTGAGAAAAAACTGCCTTTTGACTGTGGCAGAGGAAGAGGAAAGTAACCATTTTGAACATCCAGTATGATCTACTATTAGGTCAGAATATGTATATCGCATTGGTTTTGCTTCTATGTAGAAGGTTCTACAGAGATACAGAGAGAGAGAGAGAGAGAGAGAGGGAGATTAATTCCCATAAGGAATTGGCCCACACAATTATGAAGGCTGATGAGTCCAAATCTATATTGTCATTTGCTGGGCTGAGAGACTCAAGGCCCGGAAGAAATGATGGTGCAGTTCCAGTCTAAAGGTCAAAAAAGGTGGAGACTCAAGAGGTTCAAGAGGACCGACTGTGCAAATGAAGTCCAAAAGCAGTCAGCTGGAGGATTCTCTCCAGCAGGGAGGCAGAGGTCTTTGTTCTACTTGCACCTTCAACTGATTGAATGAGGACCATTCACATGATGAAGGACAATCTGCCTACTCTGAGTTCACGGACTTAAATGTTTATCTAATCCAAAAACACCCTCCAAGTTGACCTAAAAATGTAACCATCACAGCTTTCTATAAAAAATGCATACTTCTCAGTAAATAAATTTTAAAAAAACTTCCTCAGGGTCTTACCTCACATAGGTGGAAGTACAATTCCCAACTCCAATGCTGGTTAATCTTTCTGTCTCACCTAAGGAAGAAAAAACACTCCTGAGGTCATACCTAAGGGACAGAGGTCCACTAAAAGAATGATTTAATCATAATATTGTAGAATGTCTCCTTTCTGCAATTCCCTACCACCATAATAACATAAGGCTCCATGGTAAATATCATGTGCAACAGGTTCTATAACTGCAAGTCTCAGATTGAATTAAAATGGAATTTTAGGAACATCTAAAGATAATACGGGGAAAAATAAGAATATTTAAATAATTTGAAAATCTTGGTACCTCCACCTATGGCTAACATTAAACACAATTTAATTTCTAATCAGATTACTATAAAACTTGACATTAAAGGCCTATTTAACTCAGTTCCTAATATCAAGATATCAAGTTATCTTTCAACAAAAATTTTCAGTCATGATATAAGCAGAAAAGAAACGTCATCTGAAGAGACAAATCAAAATTATACCCGATCTCAGGACAGATATATTAGAATTATTACAAAAGGAATTTAAAATAACTATAATGGGTGGGTTAAGGGCTGTAACTGAAAAAGTAGACAACATGGAAAAGCGATGGCTAATGTAAGTACAAAGATAAAAAGACTAATAAAGAAACAAAAGGAAATCCTGAAAATTAAAATCACTAACGGCCATGAAGAATGACTTTAATGTGCTCATTAATAGCTAGCCATGGCTGAGGAAAGGATCAAGGACCTTGAAAGCATGTCAACAGAATATTCCTTAACTGAAATACAATTTTTAAAAAATGTAAAAGAGAGAATAGAACATGCAAAAATTGTAAGACAATTTCAAAAACTGTAGTCTAAGTGTGATTAAAATAGAAGAAAGAAGAAACAAAACAGAATAAATATGTAAAACAATAGTGACTAGGCAATTTTCAGAATTAATGCCAGAAAGAAAACCACAGATTCAGGATGCTCATAAAACTTGAAGCCGGATAAATACAAAAAAAAAAAAAAATTACACCCTGGCATGTCATACTCAAACTTCAGAAAAGTGAAAATAAAGAAAAAATTCTTGAAAAAGTCTAATGGTTAAACTTACCTTCCCTAAAGAGAAAAGAAAAGAAGGAAAAGAGGAGAAAAGAAGAAAAAGAGAAAGAATACATAGAAGATTCTTGTCAGACATCATGCAAGCAAGAAGAGATTGGAGCAAAACATTTAAAATGTTAAAAGAAAAAAAACATAAACCTAGAATTTTTTAATCCAGGAAATCGCCCTTCAAAAGTGAAGGAGAAATAAACATTTTCTCAGACAAAACAAACAAAGAAACAAACCCCCAAAATGGGAATTCATTGCTGGTAGATCTACCCTGTAAGAAATGTTACAACCACCACCAAATCTGCTGACATAAGCACGATGATCTAGGTCAGACACTTAAATTACATAAAACAAGAAAAAGCTTTAGATGAGGAATAAAAGAAGGTACAATAAAATATTTGTTTTTCATCTTAATTAACCTTGCAGAAAAACTTTGCTAAAAGTAATAATCATATCAATGTATTCTGTGGTTATAGTATAAAACTAAGTGAAGCATATAACAAAAGTTGTATAAAAGATTGTAATACTCTGTTTTAAAGTACTGGCATTCCTCTTGAGCTGTATAGTATTATTTGAAAATTGAATTAGATTGATTGTAACTGCATATTGTAAACTCCATGTCAGCCCCAAAAGATAAACTTTAAAGATGCACAACTGACATGCTAAGAAGAAAAGTAAAGTGGAGATATAAAATCCTCAATTAAAATTTTAAAAGTCAGAAAAAAGAGGAAACAAACAAATAAAAAATGCAACAAAACGAAACATTTACAAACATGGTAGATATCAGAACAAGTATATCAATAAAAAGTGTTATCACGAATTGTCTAAATCTATGAATTAAAAACAGACCTGTCAGAGTGAATACAAAAACTAGACACAACTATGTGTTATCTAGATGAAATCCATTTTAATATAAAGGTACACATTAACATCTAATCTAATGAAAGATACAGGAGCTATTAAATAATACCTGTTCTATTCAGAGATAGAAGACTTCAGATCAAAGAAAATTATTCAGATAATGATGGGCAATACAAAATGATAAAGTGATCATATATCTGAGAAGATATAACAATCTCTAATGTGTATGCACCTAACAAAGAGCTTTAAAATATGGGAAGCAAAAAGTGGTATCATTGGAAGGAGAAATCAACAAACCCACTAGTATATCTAGAGATTTCTATTTTTCAATAATGATAAATCAAGCAGGAAGAGTATTAATAACACTCTAATTTACCTAAGTAGCACTTTCAATCAACTTGATCTAATGGACAGGTACAGAATACTACATGCAAAAACAGAACATTCATCTCAAACTCACATAAAACCTTTACCAACATAGAGCACATTCTAGGCCATGAAGTACTTAACATTGAAAAGAATACAGATAATACAAAATATGTTTTCAGACCACAAGGAAGTTAACTAGAAATCAATAATGGAGATATAGGTGAAAAATTCCCAAATCTTTGCAGATTAAGCAGCACACTTCTAGAGAGCACATGTAGAGAACAAAGTCTCTAGAAAATTAGAAAATATTTTGAACTAGAAGAAAATGAAAATACAATTTATTAAAATTTGTGGGGTGCAGAGAAACCACTTCCTAGAGGAAAATTTATAACATTAAATGCACATATTAGAAAAAACTCATATTTAATAATCTAATCTTCTACCACAGGACTCTAGGGGGAAAAAATAGGTATAAAACAAAAAATAAAAATAAAAACAAAAAAAGCAATGAAATTGAAATCAGAAAAAGAATATAGGAAATCGAAGGAATCAAAAGCTGGTTTTAGAATTGATAAAAAGATTGATGAACCTTTAGGGTAAAAAATTAAAGAAAAGGTACAAGTTAGAAATATAATAAATGAAAGAGCCATCATCACTATTGATGTCATACACATTAACAGAATGCTAATTCATGTTAGAAACAACCTTATACCCACAAATATATCAAATGGACCAATTCCTTAGAAAGCAAACTCCTACAAGGAGAAATAAATAATTAGCATGCCCATATCTATTTTAAAAATTGAACCAATCATCAATAGCTTTCCAAAATAAGCACAATGTTCAGTTGATTTCACTCATGAATTACACCAAATGTTTAAGGGAGAAACAATACCAATTGCAACCAATCTATTTCATAAAATAAAAGAGGAAGTTATGCTTGTTTTATGTGGCCAGCATGACCCTAACACCAAAACAGATAGAAAACATTACAAGAAAACTAGAGACCATTGTGAACATAAATGCAAAAATCATCAAAAACAATTAACAAATTGAATCTAACAACTTACTTTAAAAAATACACCATGGCCAAGTTGGATTTATTGTAGTTATGAACACCATTTAAAAATATATTAATATAATTCACCATGTTAACAGGTTAAGGCAGAAAACTCGTATGATCATATCCGTTGACACAAAAAAGCATTTGGTAATGGACTAGAGTTTAAGATACCAGTTATGAACTCATGTTTTGTTAACTAAAAATATAGATTGTTACATGTAGATATATGTGTAGAAATACTCATATGCATAGGTTTCTATACACATATATTTTCTTGTTCCATCAATGAACACCACCTGGTAGTAACATGCATACCTAGTGCCCAGATTTGGTTTCTAGTACCATTCTTCAATGAAAAGAACTAGAGCTCCTTAGAGAAATGGCTGATCCAAGGAATGGGGCGGTAAACATATATTATGAGCATGGAACATCTTGTAGTAACTGAGAGTAAGACAATGCACAGGAATATAAGGAAAGAGTTCCCAATGGCCAAAATTCAAAAACATTGAGCAACAAAATAAAGAAGTACTGGATTATAACTCAAAGTATAAAATAAATATCCACAAGTCCAGGAAGATACAAACAAATAATAATTGTATATATATAAACACATTATTAGTAGGAGAGAACAGACATATCTGCCTTTCAGAAAAATTCCAAATGATATGTATAGATACTCTGCCTTTAAGGAGGAGGAGCATAACTTTCTTCTCTTTAAGGGTAGACTGCGTACAGTTATTTTCTTCCAAAACAATGTATGTTAACAGGAAAAAAATAGTAACTTCACAATAGAGAAATCTGACAAGCAGTACCTTAGCCAGGTGATCACAGTCTATGTCAACAGTAAGTCATGTTGATAATATGAACTATTGATATACTGTGATGAAAATGGCACTTAAGATCTGAGGTCTTTTTCCCAAAAACCATAACCCCAGTCTAATCATGGGAAAAACATCAGACAACTCCGATTGAGGCATATTCTACAAAATACCTGGCCTCAAAACTGGCAAGACATCGGAAAAAAAAAAAAAGAAATTCTGAGAGACACTGACAGTTGGGAGGAGCATGAGGAGACATAACCACTAAATGTAATGTGGTATTCTGGATAGAATCCTTGGAGGGGGAAAGATTAGGTAAAAACTAGGGAATAGTGGGCCAGGCGTGGTGGCTCACACCTCTAATCCCAGCACTTTGGGAGGCTGAGGCAGGAGGATCACGAGGTCAGGAGATCGAGACCATCCTCGCTAACAGGGTGAAAAACCCGTCTCTACTAAAAATACAAAAAATTAGCTGGACGTTGTGGCAGGTGCCTGCAGTCCCAGCTACTCGGGAGGCTGAGGCAGGAGAATGGCATGAACCCAGGAGGCAGAGGTTGCACTGAGCTGAGATCGCACCACTGCACTCCAGCCTGAGTGACAGAGCGAGAGTCTGTCTCAAAGCAAAAACAAAAAACAAACAAAAAAATACTAGGGAATATTGAAAAGACTGATGAACTTTTAAAATAATAATGCATCAATATTGAGTGATTAATTGTAAGAAATGTGTCTTATTAACGTAATCTGTTAAAATAAGTGACAATGTGTGCCAGGTTTATAGAAACTTTCTGTACTTTTCAATTTTTCTGCAAAGCTAAACATGTTCCAAAAATTAAAGTTTTCTTCAAAAAACTGTATGTCAAGAAACCTCTTCTTCCTAAATTTCTCTGTAAATAGCTATATTTAATATTTTTCAAAAGAATCTGAGTTTCTGAGTGTCCCAAAGGGTTTGAAATTTCAAAAACTTGTGAAAAAATATACGCAAGGAACTATACAACATAACCTCTTCATTTTTAAATTGATCTCCAAGACCTCTTCCATTGCAAAAGACCTATGATTCTCTGACCCTACGTTCTTAGAGCATCGACAAATGAATCCAGTATTCTGAAGATTAAATAGAAGTTATATACAAATATGGGCATGAATTTGACAGGAGAGCATTGTTATATTTTAGAAAATAGTTACCAGGGAAATAGCTAGAAAAACAAAGGATCATGAAGATCGGTTTACTGTTCACAGGTTTTTTTTCTCCAACTAATATTGTAATTCCAAGACTGGAGAGGACTAAATAGAAAGGAAACAACATAGAAGGA